GCTCGCTCCCCGGCCGCAGCCGCCGCGTCCACCCGGGCAGCGCGCACACACAGCACTTGGCCAAATTCAAAGGAGCCGGGCGCGGGGGAGGGGGCCCCGCCGAGGGAGCGGAGCGTGGGAGACGGGGGAGGGTGGCGGGAGGGGGAGAGAACAGCAAGTGTTACAACTTCCTTCCCTGCCCAGCGCCCGGCCGCGGCGGGCGAGGGACGCGGCGAGGGGAGGGCAGCGCGCGCCGGAGCGCCAATGAGTTCACTTTCTTTTTCTCCCCCGCGCTCTCCCCCTCTCCCTTCCCGCCGGCCCCTCTAAGCCTCCAGCTCAGCCGGAGAGGCCGCGCCGGAGTTTTCGGTTCTCGGCGGGGGAGCCGGAGGACGGTGGCGGCGAGGGAGGAGGAAGAGGAAAAGGTGAGGAGGCGAGCAGGGCGCCGTGCCAGGGAGCAGCATCCAGGACCTTAATTGTGTGACGGGGGGACGCGCCGGGCCGAGTGTGCCCGAGACAGGCGCGTACACGTGTCCGTGTGTGTGTGCGAGTGTGTGTGCGGGAGGAGAGGAGCCTACCATGCGCTTCCCCCAGTGCAGATCGCGGGAGAGCCCAATCACAGGGCGAGCTGGACCGGGCTGCGATCATTTATAATCCTGGACTCCTCCGCTCCGCCACTTGTCAAGATGACAGGTACTTTATTTCTTCTTCTTCTTTATTCAAAAAAAGAGATTCCCCGTTTACTGCCTTTTTCTGTCAAATGGGATTTGCCGGACTGAACCACGTTCGCCGCCCCTCCCTTCTTCCCTCCTCCCGGCCGCGTCGGGTACGGGAAAGCTCCAAGGCTCCCATGCTGTGACCAATCAGTGCATCTACTACTCTTGCCGTGATTTAGGGGTCATCCATGAATAACACTTCACGCTGATGAATGGCTCTTGCCGGCTTTCGGCTCTGATGAGGGGTCTGCCCGCCGCTGATTGCAAACACTAATGAACTTACAGCGCCATCTGAAATTCACACGCACCTACAAAGTGCAGGGGTACGTGCGTGCCGGGGAGGGGGGGGGTCTGTCCTTTTCTTCTCTGGGTTGCGGGATGGGGGTGGGGGAGAGGGACGGGGGAGGGGGCGGGTAATTGCTTTGGACCAAAGTGGAAACACTTCTCTGTGTAATCAAACCTCTAACCTTCTTAGAAAACTACTTTGCTTGATCTTTCATAGGGTGGGCATTTCAGGTCAGCGGAGTCACCCGAAGAGGTAGGAGTGCAAGACACTGCCGGGAAGATGGATTTCGAGGCAGAAGGGTGTAATTAAGGATTTCCACTCTCGGTAGGCGGCCCGTCCTTTACAAGAGGCTCTGAAAATGACCTGCGCCTTCCCTTCCAGAGTGTCCTCTCGTCCGAAACTGAAAAGCGCAAATGACCTTCGCACGCGGGAAGGGGCTCTGAACACCAAGATTCCTTGCAAGCCCCAACTCGGGGCTGGCGGAGAACAAGTGTCTGCCCTCGGGTTCAAGCACCAGGTCCTCCCCAACAAGCGCGCAGCGGCCAGGGGGCTGGATTCTGGAGTCCTCTAAAGGCTCCACACCCCGCATTCTCCGACCCCCCCATCCCCCGTTCTCCCCTCAGATTAGCAGCCAAACGCTACCTCTGCCTCGACTTTGTTTGCTGTGGGAGGAAAATAAAAGTTTACTACTCTCCACAAGACGCTGCCACTTTGTACTCGCTTAAGTTCCCCTCAGCACCCTCGCTCGCGACTCCCCAGCCCCTCTGCCCCGGCCTAAAGGAAGCCCACCGAGGCAGATTGCAGTTCCGGCTGCTCCGGACTTTTGGAACACCCAATCCGCGACCTTCGCGGAGCCGCTCTCCGGCTCTTTGCCGCTCTGGAACCTGCTCGGCACCCAGCGGCAGCAGGGCTGGGGCGTGCGCGCTTGGGGCGGACCAGCCCGCTGGGCTCCACTCCGGGCACCCTAGCGTCCTCCCCCCTGCCCCCCCCTCCCCCGGGAGTAGCTCTGAATTTGTTCCCCAGGCCTTAACGGGGCGCTAGCAAACTTGACCTAGGAAGCGTGGCAGAGGAACTAGCGAGCTCTCAGCCTTCTCATTCCATCTCCCACTTTCAACTTCAGAGCAGAGGATTCCAGCGACCTGCACCTAACGGGGACTCGGGCTGGAAGGAAAACACCTGTATTTGTAACTACGTGCAGAACACGAAACAGACTAAGCACTTTGAAAACAAGAGCAGTGCCTCCTAGGAAAGCCTGAGGCTTCACGATAGAGTTTCTCCAAAGTTTTCGGGAGAACTGACAAGGAGAGTCCCTGAACTTGAATTAGTGCGCCCAGTCCCACCACCTGAGTTCCCGAAGTTGTCAAATGACCAAACGCACTTCACCTACTCGTTAAGAAATAACGGTAATGCGTGACCACCACGACCCCATTCCTGGGGCGCCAGTGACGCTAAGCACTACAGGAATCTAGAGTCGCCCTGCTTTGTGTGTTTCACACTTGAAAAAATAAAATAAAATAAGGCAGCGGGGGCAAACGAATGATTATTCCCCTCTCATTCTAACCATCCTCATTGTCTCAAGAAAACTTCCTGAATTGTGGAGGCATACCCCAGATATTATATGACAGTCACACCAACTACTTAAAATTTGCATTCCTGATGTGATCAAAAGGAAACTTGACGGGTGTTTCATAAATCACCTTTGTGGCCCAGTTCCCAGAAAAACATCTTAAGTGTTCAAAACTTTGCTAAGTGTCCATGTAACACTCCCCCTTGCTCTTTCGTACCTTACTATCTAGGAATACACACAAAAAAAGAGATAAGACACATCCTAAAGAGGCCAGAACAGAAGAACTAAATTGCTGGTAGAACAGGCAGGAGGTGGGGTCGGGGGAGTGGCATGTTTCTTCTTTGCAGCTCTTTTCTCTTTTCAGCCCTCATTATAGCTAAAGCTGGTAATGAGCATAGGAAACAATAGAACTCATAAAATTTAGAAATGGTAATAAATCTTGAAGCTTGTCTCTAGCCCAGCTCCCTGTTACACGATATTCAAAGTTTTTCAGTGCGGGATGTTGAACATTCACACGAATTGTATGCAATGCAGACAAAATACTCTAGAACTCATTCATACAGACCCGTGCACTCTATGGCAAGCATCACTGGTGGACAAAGCGCGCAGGGTGTCCTCAACGACCGTCTGTGAGCGCAAGGCGAAGCCCGAAATCCAGGCAGTTTATGTGTGCTAAGTTTGAGGCTTCGTGGGTTGGGTTCCCACCCCCCCAACCCCTACCCCCACTAACAAAAAAGTTCCATCATTCGAGGTCCTTAGGAAGAGCTGATGTTGTACAGTGCCAAACTCTACCAGACGCTTTCTCCTCCGAATGCATCCTTGGAAAGCAGAGAGGCAGCCTGCTACGTGACCATCAGGCTTTTTGCCTCGCTGAGCTCCTGTCATGGGAGGGCGGGGATGGTGGGTAGATCACGCCGTGCCCTCGGCTGCAATAAAAACTCCAGCGGGAGAAGAAATGCAAGACGTGGCTGGCTGTTTTGCAAACCTCTGGCCGCTCACAGCAAACTCTGCCGGGCGCGGCTGGTGTGACTTTGCCGCGTGAAGGCAGCCGGTCTTGCACAGGATAATGGGGCTGAGCTGGCGGCATCGCCCTCCGGTGGGGTCCCCTTGTCACAGTGATACGCGGCTCTCCGGAAAAAAAAAAAATGTTGCTGAGCTCCCCTTGCAGCCCGCACCCCACCCCTGGAAATGCATGCCTGTGGCCCTTGCAAACCTCTACAGGATGCTTGGGGAGGAAGATAATGGACCGAACCACTTTGGGATTAGGAACTGACCATGTCCTCAGGACTGAGGTGGGGTGGGAAAGGGACCCGTGCTTTGCCCTGCTGCGGAGGCTGGGCCCACAGCGCTGTTCTGTCGCGCCATCAACTCCCCACCTCAGGCGAGGGTCGCTCCCCACTCGAAGGGGATGCCTATCCATGTAAGTCAGCATCACGGAAGCCTTCCCTGGAGGCTGATGTTTTGGGGACTGTCGGTTTTCTCCAGGTCGAGCCTGAAGCCCCCGCTTGGGCCTCCCTCCCGTGGGGCGCAGCCGGGCTCCAAGGCTACATCCTCCTTTGACAGGCGGGGCTTTCAGGAGTGCAGAAGGGGGCACGGGGTCAGGCAGGTAGGAGGCTCTCCAAGGAGGCTCCTGGGCACCGCTCCACTTCATGGGCATTCTTTGGACTTACTACATCAGCTCTAGCAAACTGAGGCAAGAATGGCCTGACTGTAGGGCTCAAATCCGGCCGCAACCTCTCCGGCCTGAAGGGTTCTGGCACTGACAAGGAAGGCGGGAAATGACTGAAGGAGCCATAGTGGAGACTCTTAGACCTTCCCACTGACCCTTTGACAAGATCAGGCAAGCCAATAATCTATATACTTCCAAAAGGAGGTTATGTCCCAATTGAGAACAGTAAGTGATGAGCAGCTTAAAACAGCCTGAAGGCTGGCAGTCAGGAGAAGAAGGTGAGTCCTAGGCACTTGGAGGATGCTGGTTAAACAAATCAGTTTGCAGGTAGCAGACCACTAACCTAGAACAATGTACAGCACTAGAACTTAACTTTTACACAGAAGCCTCTCAAGTAGCTCTAAAGTTACTGTCAGGTGTTTGTTGTTTCTTCTCCTGGGAAAACAATCAACTGATTTCCCTTGGCCGTTAGGTTGAGGGAAACTGTAAAACAAATATTCTGATTTGATCACTGATCAAGTCATAAAATTAAATGACTATTGGCGGTGGAAAACAGGCTTTCATTACCTTCATTAAAGCAAGACAGGCCTCTCTCAATGCACATGCATTTCGGAGCTACCCAGTGAACCGGTGATCAGACAAACCAACCTTTAAATGCGGCCCTGCTTTTCCAGTACATTGGTTTGTGTTCCACTGCGTAAACAGAGGCTCCACGTGGCTCTGGTCTCTGGTGAAAAGGCATGCATGGAACCCAACCCCACTGCTGACTTGGTTTTGCTTCAGTCACATAGAAAACCCAGTTCCTCGAAGGATTTTGAACACAGAAGCGTCTTTCCACACGTGGCACTTTCAATTTTGGTTTCAGTCCACATGTGTGTTTAAAGCATGCCACATTTTCCCACACTGAAAGATAAAAAACCTTTAAAATTAATAGTTACCATGGAGTACCCTTTAAAATCTGTCATGTTTTCTGTGGACAGCTTTTTGATAAGCAGGATATATACCATATTTACGGTACACACTTTATACAGTATATGGTGTATTTAAGGCAGACGCTAGCTGCGCAAGGTTTATAAATTCATGACAGAGGACAGTTTTGTTAAGAATATCATGTCCTTTGGATGTTTCGGGATCCAGTCTATAAGTTAACTTGTAGACATAGATGAAAAACGTAGGCATCAAGGGACTACATTCAGCTGCAGACCCACTGAGCATCTTCTCATTTCCCAGGAGTGTCCTACTCCGTCCTCCCTTTGTCGACTCCTGAGTCCGGGACGTCCTGTACTCTCAGCCTCTGGAGCTCCTATTTATTAGAGCACCCATTAAGCCCTTGGAAGGGCTTCCATAGTATTTTCTGCATGTAATAAACGATGGCACTATTTTATTAAATGGGCCTTTTGCAATAGCTCTTTAAAACCACAGGGTCCAGCACAAAGGGCTGCATGCAGAAGATGTTCATTAAGTGGTTGTTGAATGAATGAGTGAATGCATGAATAAAATATTTTCACCCTATTCAGTCATTCCAACTTTTTTTTTAAAGGATAGGTCATAAATAAAATTGACTTCAAGAATATACTTATTAAGTACAGTGTCCATTTTTCTGCCCATCCATTTTTTAATGGCACATCATTTAAAAATTCCAGTTATGATATCAAGCCACATCAGTTCACCTCTGAACTTGGTTGACTTCTCAGACACACAGTTTGAAGTAAAGACAAAAATAATGGGGAAAAGGAAAGAGATCAAATTTTGTGTTCCTCTTTTTCAGTAAGATGTAGCATATACGGAAATTTGGAAAAATTGGTAGTAAGCACTGATCAAATGCAGATACTCTAAGTATGTTCTACTAAATACGATACTATGACACCCTTATTGTTTACCGAATTCCTCTGCACTTTTAATGGTAAGAAGTGTAGAACCTAAGATGACTGCTTTTCATTTCTTCAAGACAAGGGTTCAGCTGGTATTGGGGAAACAATCTCTGTTTGTTCCTCTCTGCTCAGGAGGACTGTTTCTAATTGATCTGGCATGGAATTTAGTTGGAGATGTGTATGTAGCAACCAAAGCACAGAGCCTGTATGCTTTGTAAAGTGATAACCATATGGGCCTTATTTGAAACATTTGAGGATTTTCGACATTAACCTGGGTTAAATTGAGCTATAAATTCAACTCAAATGTATACGTCCTGACAAATTCATCATCACTTTGGATAGATCCAATCCGTGCTCCCCTCAGATTAATAAAGATGATGACCACTTATCACAAACGCGGAGGTTCTTTGTGATAAAGTACCATAATGTTGTACTTTGCACTGTTTAAATGCAAATTGCCCTTATTAAGCAGACATTTTCTACTGTTATCACTTTCAGCAGGATGGAAATGTTTAAAAATGATCTCTGGGTAAAGAAAAAGATATATAGTCAAACCTATTTCCTCTTACACAATTTTCAAGTGCACTTCGCT